TGATCTCTCCTATTCAAGCACCCTCTCTGACTCACCCAGATCTGTACTTACTGCCAACTCTTTCCACAATTCCAGGGGCACCATTCATTTTATAAAATATGTAGAGTCCCATATGGGACCAGAACCCCCTCCCTTCTCCCAGATCTCTTCTTCATCTTAGGAGGGACTGTCAGCATGATGGTTGTTTAGTGTCCCTGTTCCTAAGACACTCAAGGGTCTGCAGAAATCACTCAGTGCCCCTGTGGCAACATTTCCATTTGTTGATATTCTGGCCCATCTGCACTGGGATGTGGGCAGTGAGCCAAGGCCAGGGCCTCCCCAGTTTCACTCTAAGGACACATCAGATATCAAAAAGATGACACAAGATAGGTATTGGGCTAGCAGATGTTGAGGGCCGAGGGACTAACTGTGGCTCCACTGGGCAGTGGCCCCAAACCCTTGAATGCAGTATTGTCTCTGGTATGTGCTCACAGCAGGTGCCTGCACCTCAGCCCTGGCCCCAGGAACTTTTCCAGACAGTCCTCTTGCTCCAAGATAGGGGCTGTGGACCCATGAGACTAGAGACTCCTGGGGGCTTGCAGTCATTTGCAGAACTCTGTGAGAGGTCACTTCTTCCTTGTTCTTTTCAAATGAACCACAGTCTTGGGTCCCTCCCCCTTCCCACCTCCCAAATATGCTGCCATCCCAGAGGGACAATGGAAGGGCACTAAATCTGTTTCCTAAACACCAGCCCTGCTACTGGCTGTGGGTACAGTGCTTACAAGCAGCCACTGTGCCCAGGGTTAACATGCTGAGTGCCAGATCTGGGGCACTGCATCTCCTGTTGGGAGTCATTTCAATTCAGGCAGTCCCCCGTACTGTTCTATAATCCCCCAAGAAGTGAGACCCACTGTTATCTGATGTGTTTTAGGGGTTCTCATGGTGCCAGGGCCTGTTTAAAGGGCAAGTATAGAACTCTCTATTTTAATCACTGAAAACTGAGTGGGGCTGAGTGGTTTTCTGTGAGCTCCAGTCGGGCATTGTCCCTGACCAAGGAATTTGGCAAGACAGATGAAAAATCATGATCTGGGAAATTGCTACCAATTCCATCCCCTTATCTGCCTGCATTATAGCTTGGGCACAGCACCCCAACCCCTATCACAGGCCAGAACAGCAGGCAGTTATCCTGTTATCCCAGAAAAACTTTGGTATAATCTAGCCAGGGAAGGAACTCTATTTTGCAGCTACTCGACACGTTTTATCTGTACTAGAGATTGAACCCTACACTGAGCTACACCTCTAGTCCTTTAATATTTTTTAAAAATTTTGGGAGAGTGTCTCACTAAATTGCCAAGGCTGGCCTTGAACTTGCCATCCTCCTGCCTCAGCCTCCTGATCACAGGTGTGTGCCACTGCACCCAGTGAGGACCTTTTCATGTAAACACAATAAAAGCAAACCTGGGGTTACTGAACACAACAGAAGTATGACAACTGGCTTTACAGAAAGAATTATAGAAGGATTCTCCAGGCTCCTTTGAAACCATAACTTCTCTCTAGTTTTTGAATATGTTTTTCCTTCAAAGATATGATGGACTGATTGACAACTTTCCTAGCATGTACCTGTGGTAGAAAGCAAGGGCTACAAAAGTGGTGGCATTGTGGTGTTTTGTTCTGGTCACAAGTTTGACTAAAATTTGTTGAGGCCAAGGGGTTAAATGAAGAGAGAAGCAACCAGGCATCTTGTCTCCAAAGAACCTGGGGAGGTGATGATTTGCAGAAAAACACGAGGCCATTGGGCACCACTTGAAAAAAGAGTCACAAAGAGGGACTTGAAATGTTGTCAAGGTGGAGGGCAAGTGAATGAACAAGCGAGAAGTTTGCCCACAAGCTGTGGGCAGCTGGGAGGGCCCTCAGTTCCTGCCAGGATCCAGGTTCTGAGGCCCTGACAGCAATCAGTCATGGTTGGAGAGTGGGGGGAACAGGGAGGAAGGAGAGAGACTGCGAGTCCACTGCTAGATGGTACAGCCTAGGCATCCATGGGCAACTCAGACAACCCGAGAAGGGGAATTCCTGCCAACTCAGGGAATGAGCCATTGGCAGAGACAGTGTGGCTGTCGTCAGGAGAATGGTGATCTCAGCCTGGCTGGCCCCACCTGGCTGGGGCTCACCCAACACCTAAGTGGGGAGCCAGGTGGGGAAGCACTGGCAGGCTGTGGAACATGAAGGTCATGGAGAAGGGCGTTTGGGTGGCTCATGGATCCCCAAGGTGAGACAGACACAAGATTTTCTTCAAGGTGGGAGGGGGGATTTGCTTTGGCTACAACCCCCATATCATGGGGCAGCCATTAGTTCCAAGTGGCTGAGGAAGGTGGGAGTTTAAGGGATTCCTACAAGCCCTGGTCAGCAGGTCCCTGGCAGGCATTAGGGCCAGTCACCATGAGCTGCTCCACAATGCTGAACACTTTCTCTGCTCTTCCAAAAGGGAGACCTTGCCTTGTGCTCCACCTTGAGGCTTCTGCCCTGGTTGAATCCATATACACTCACAGGAGGGATCCACTATTACTCCCTAGCAGCATCTGCCCTGGTCCTGGCACATTTTCTTCCAAGACCTGGGTTGAGGAAGCAAAATGAGGATAAAGATGATGCTGAAGACAGTCAATATTTACTACACACCAGGCACTGCCAGAGATACAGATTATCTCATTCAGTCCTCATCAGACCTTGTGAGGTAGGCTTATGATTCCCAATTTTTAAATAAGGAAAGTGAAGCCAAGTGCTGTGATGCATACCTGCAATCCATCCCAGCAACTCCGGAGGCAGAGGCAGGAAGATGGCAAGTTTGAGGCCAGCCTCAGCAACTTAATGAGATCCTGTCTCACTAAAATAAAAATAAAAATGGCTGGGGATATAGTTCAGAAGTACTGTGTCCCTGAGTTCAGTCCCCAGTACCAAAAACAAAACAAAACAAAAAGAAAAAGTGAGGCTCAGAGAGTTTAAATGACTGGCCTTAATAGTGGTGCAGCAAGCTGGGCATAATGGCAATGTGTACAATCCCAGTGACTTTGAAAGCTAAGGCAGGAAGATTGTAAGTTCAAGGCCAGCCTCAGCAACTTAGCAAGACCCTAAGCAACTTAGTGAGACACTGTTTCAAAATAAAAAACATAAAGGACTGTGTCTCAGTGGTTAAGCACCCCTGGTTCCAATCCCCAGTACCAAAAAAGGAAAAGAGAAAAAAAACAACAACAAACTAATGGTGCAGCTAGAATAGACAGGGGTCTGTCTGATGTTACAAACCACTGAACTCAGACTGCAGATATAGCTCAGTGGTAGTGTGCTTGCCTGGCATGTGCAAGGTTCTGGGTTTGACCCCTGCCACCCAACACACAGAGATCACTAAACTCTTAGCAAAGGGTAAATATGTTTGTGTGTGTCCATTAGTGAATTTCAAGATCAAGGTAATAGGGTTTAGAGACAGTTGAGACCTACTGCAAACAAGTCTTATAAGCAAGAGCTAGCAGAGAACTGTGTGTCTCCAGAATCCCTTAAAAAATAAGTGGAAAGTTGTTCTTAGTCCTTGTTTAAGGGACTTGGCTATGGGTATCCAGGAGGTGTTAGGGACCATTGTCCCAGTCCAGTCACTACATTTTTCCTTGGCAACCTGTAATCTACAGCCACCTTTGCTACCATCATCTGCCACCACCACCCCTGTCCCTATCCCTGTGCCAGGGATCATCTTTTCCAAGGCTGAGGAGCCAGACAGATGCTAGTGGCTGGATAAGTCCTTGAACTGCAGGCCCTTTGGCCACCCTTATGCCTCCGAGGGCACTCCTCCTCTGAGGTCCCTTCAGCTGCTTTCTGCCAAGGTCAAGGCCTGGCTGGATCGCTCCTCCAGACCATGCAGAGCCATAAGGAGTGACACTTTCCAGCAAACTCCTTCCCAGAACTTCATTGCTGCTGAACCAGGTGGGAGCTGGCATGGGTGTGGAGGCGGTTCAGACGAGGGGCAAAGGGGAGATAGAATGGGAGACCGGTTCACATGGGCACTTTAAGTAGAGCAGATTGGCTTTGGACTGGAGAAGAAGGGTGGGCAGGAGCTTTCTCCCAGCACCACGACTCTGGTTGCCTTTGCACCTGCCTTGTCGGCCACATTCCCTCAGGCCCCTTTCCTGATTCCTATCCTCCCTGCCTTCCTCCGCAGGAGCCTTGGGTTGGACTTCCCTAGAAGTCCCGGAAACTCTCCTGTCACACAAACTTCAACATGCATTTGACCAGGGATTCCTCGGGGGTTGTCTAAGTTTCCAACTTAGAGCCTCTGGGTATCACCCCCCGCTGGGCCCGTGCGGTTTGCACACAGCAGGCGCTTGATGGTGTTCATTACAGGGCCAGAGGCAAAGGCGTCAAACGAGTGGAGTGCACAGGCCGAGGTGGTTGGACGCAGCCTTCGAGTCCATTGGGAATAGGTTACTCCGCGGAACTTTGTGGGCGGGGGGGGGCGGTTCCGCAAGGGCCCTGGTTAGGGTTGAGGGCCCCGGGGCCCGCCCACAGTGAGCGGAATGAAGGGGGGGTGACCAGGGCAGCGTCACGCGACGTGGACTCTGCGGGAGCCCTGCCCCAGCTGTTCCCCGGGGCGAGCTAGCCGCGAGGGAAAGGAGAGGCCGCGCGGGCCCCTGGCATGGCTCCTCCTGCCGTGCTGGCGACCGCGGCGGGCCGGGGGTGGAGGGGCGCTGTTTCCACCAAGATGCCTCGTCCCTCCCTCGCTCCCTCCTCCACCCCGCCCGCCCGCGGTCCCTCCCGTCGGTCCCTCCCTCCGGCTCTTCCCTCCCTCCCGCCCAGCCTTCTTCGCGCCCGCCCCAGCCGCCGCCTGCGGGGACGTGTGTGTCTCTACTGCAATTTCCCCTTTCGTTCGGTTGTCTCAGTGCAGGTCTCCGCTGGCTGGCGCCCCCTCCCCGGGCGCCCCCTCCGCCCCCTCCCTCGCCCGGGCCGGCCCTCCCCTTCGTGTACCATTTCCCGCGGTGTTCCACTCCGCCCCCCGACTCGTTTTTATCAGGGGCGCCGCCGTCTCACCTGGTATTTGCATCTCGCCCTCCAACTTGCCATTGGTGGCGCGACGTGTGGGAGAGCCCTGCGCCTCGCCCGCCCGGACCAGCCTGCCCTGGCGCCGAGGTGAGTCACGGGCGCGGGGCGGCGGGGGCAGGCGGGCAGGGAAGAAAGAGGGAGGGAAGCAGGGAGGGGGACGGCGGCCCCGGCGGCCGCGGGGACGGAGCGGGCGCCGCGCTCGACTTCCACTTCTCCTTTCGCTGGCGCCGAGCCCCCGGCGCCTCTTGCCCGGCCCGGCTTCCGAGGGGTAAAGGCGCGCTGGCAGGGTTGGCGGGGCTGGAGACCCACGTCTCGGCCCCTGCAACGGGGAGGGGACCACGGCTTCCGACCCTGGCCCGGCGACCAAGCCTGGCCCATAAGCTACTCAGCTTCAGGTACGTCGATGGCGCCGGTTCTTTGAGCCTTCGGAGACCTCGAAAAGTTTGCTTGAGGGCGGTAGCGAGGGCCGCGGGGCCCCAGAGTGGGGTTGGGGGCCCTGGAAAGGGTGGGAGAGCCGTGGCGCGTGGAGTGCCGCGCTTGCCTCGCCCCGCCGCGTGCATGGTGGGGAACACGGGCTCCTGATACCGGAGTAGAAATGGAATCGATTTCCTGAGTCGGGTCGGGGGCAAGTTTTCCTGTGGCCCGCTCCACCTAGTTCCGTGATAGGGCCGTTTGTGATAGCTGGGGGCCCCCAAAAGCCCAACGCCCGAGGGCAGGATGTTGGTGGACTGTGGCCAGGCTGCTAGATTGATTGAGCCAGCCCTTAGAGGTCCTGGGGCCAGGTGCTTTAGGGTCACACACATGCACGTACATAAACCTATGACTTGGAGTATTGAATCGCCAAAATAGAGACCTCTTGGCAGAGGCTGGAGTTTCCGTGCGAGCCAGACGCCAGCCTTCCCGCTCCTGCGTTCCCGCTCTCCCAGCTTCTCCCGCCTATCTGTTCCCTCCCCTGCTACCACCAAGGGAACTCTGCAGTCGCAGGGCGAAGAATCCCCTGATGCCAGAGCCTTGCTTTGGAGGTTTGGGGGACTTCTGGGTTGGCAGCGACTTTGTGAATTCCTGGCCCCTCCATGGCACCTTAACCCTGTTATCCTTTCCTCGTGACTATGCCTGCCACATAGGCTTCCTGACCGGAGCCACCTCCTGACCCCTTGGCACCTTGGCTCAGAGAGGTTCTCCAGGGTGCCCCCAGCAACACCACACCCCAGCTGAGGGATTTGATGGCCCTTTGATTCCTGTCCCTCATCCCTCTGCCCGAGATAGAGGCCTGTCTGGTCCTGCAGCTTCTTCTGGTTAATGTTTGACAGTTCATTGTGGCTAATCATTTTAATTAGCTCTTAAAGTGGGGAGGAACAGTTAACCTTGGACTTCTCGATTTTGGCCTGGTGGGGCCTCAAATGGGAGGAGTGCTAGGGAGGTGGGGAGGTAGGAACGGAAGTGAAGTCACCATCCCAGGGCCTGAGCCACCACTGCTGGCCCCAACAGCTGGTGGGCACGCCCATTGGGGACTCAACCCCTGTGCACTGACCCCTGGCCTCAATGCCAGGTTGGGGAGAGGTGAAGGGAACCTATGCTGGCTCTCCCCTTTGGAGGGACAGGGCACTTTGGCACTGAAAATGCCCAGGGAATATGTATGCCCTGTAAGAATGCCAATCCCTCCTTGCAGTCGGTTACACAGGGTTTTCCTTGTTATAAAGTGCTTCCTCAACCATTAATTTAGCGCACCCAATGCAGAAACCGTCTAGCAGGAGTTATCTGAAGTAATGAGGATGATCAGGGAGATCCTGGAAGATGGTGTGGACAACTGCTGCCTTGCATGCGGTTGTCTCAGGGGCTGGGTTCAAAGCCTAGAACCTCTTGTTGCAGGGGACCATGAAACAGGCTCCACGTTGCCACCCTCACCCAGCCTCTTGCTGGGAGCCGAAGGAGTGGCTTGTTTGCAACTATGTCTGGCATTCCTCCCTCTGCTGCGCTGTGTTTGCTCGGTGGTTACTCAGGAACTGGCGCCCACCCCTGGACAAACTGGGGGCCCCAAATCCACCCACCTTCCCTCGCCTGGTCCTAAGTGGTGGCACAGTGGCTTCCATCTCCTCTGCCATTTACTGTTATCTAAAAATGAGGGTATTCTGGTCCTTCTGCCATGGACCTGATGGATAGCATGTTCAAAATGCCCCTAATTCTGCAAAATTCAGGGCTTTTGTCCCACGAAGGCCCAGTCAGCTACCAGCTGAGAGTATTGCTTTTCCAGGGGAACTGCTCCTGAGCCTGTCCTGGGTTTTCTCCCTCCCAGCACCACACCCAGTTTTCTCATTTTACCTCTAACCTCTAGAGCCAGCCTGTCTGGGTGGGTTGAAACCCCAGCTTTGTCACTTACTCCATGTGTGCTCCCAGTCAATCCTATGCCTCAGTTTCCTTATATGGCAAATGAGACCTATCTTGTAAGGTTGTGATAAGGACCAAATGTGTAAAAACATAGAAGTTACTTATTAGAACAGTGTGTGGCACACAGGAGGCATGAACTGGCATTATGATATTTTCTAATGTAGTGCCTAAAACTCAGATTCAACTCAGCAAATATTTGCCAGGAGTAGATCCCAGTACTGGGCAGTGAGGAAAATATGGAGACACCTCCTGCCTTCCAGGATTGTGTGTATCTTCTTATGTGGACCAGGATGGTGGGGGGGGTGTGGGAAGGGGGGGCTGGGATATTAAATAAGTCAGGCTTGAACCCCTGAGCCAGGCACCCCAGACTTGGAAGCTTCTCCTTGTCTGGAGACCCTGGCTGGTCTGGATCCTTCCTGCTCCCCAAGCCTGCCTGAAGGTTTGGGTGAAGGAGTTCTGGTCCCTGGATGCACTGTAGGTGATAAGCACTGAGGAAATGATTTGCTGGGTGTCAGGGCAGGATGGCATCACTTGGGACCACTCTCAAACACCCACAAAATTTCCCCAAGTGGCAGGACTCGTGCCTGATATGCCTCCTGTGTCTTTCTGGTGTCCTCTGCTGAGTTAGGAAGGGCCTTGGGTAGCCTTCTCTCTTCAGCCTGGGCCTGACCCCAACCTGGCCTTGGTTATCACTCCTGGGTTTCTAAGCTGCAAAGAGGTTTCTGGCTTCACTGCCAATTTATTCCCTTTGTGGTTCACAAACTGAAAACTAGTTCTGCAGGGGAGAGAGGAAACTCATGCGAGGTACCCAGAATCCCATGGGCGCTTTCCTAGGGGTCAGGGGCTTTTCTCATCAACACCAACCTGCCTGCAAATCTCTGACCGCTGAGCCTTGTGTGCCCTGTAATAGCGGCCGAGCGGCTAATGCCCTGTAGCTCGGGCCCCAGTGCTGGTTGCCAAGAAACTGCTGGTCGGGGTGCTTATGAGGGTTCTGACCTCATAGGGGCTGCTGAGTTTCAATTCAACAGACCTTTATTAACACCTACTGTGTGCCCAACCTGTGCTAGGAGCTGTGGGGAGTGAAGGGAAGGAGGTGGCAGGGTAGAGATGACTAAGACACTGAAACAATCAGAGGCGAGGACAAGCAGCCAGGCCAGTGGCTGGTCAGGTGCTAATTGTGCTCCTTGGAGCAGAGGCCAGCTCGGCCAGGACTCTGAGGTCAGCAGCAGCTGGAGGAGGGAGGGAAGGCTTTGTGAGGGATGCGGGCATGAGCTAGACCTTGAAGGGGGCGGGGCAGCGAGGGGGAGACTTGGCTCAGCAGAAAAGGGAGAAAAGACGCCTTTCTCTCTATTCCCTGGCCACCGACTGACCTTCAGAGCCTGGATAATTGTTTAGTAAATGCATGTCACATAAAAGACCAGGTCAGCGAGTGTGGGTGGCTTGGTGCAAACTCTGATCTCCACTTTAGGAGATACAAAGTGGTCTGCCCAGACAGTGAGCCCAGTGTGTATTGATACAACACAAAGGGTGGCCAGGCTTTCCTGCCACCCAAGCTGAGGGGATTTCATTCTGATCCCCACCACCCCCAACACATACAGGCCCTGGGGGGTAGAGAGAGAGGAAAGAGGTAGGGGACACTGAAGTGACATGTCACAAGTGTTCACCACAGACAGGCTGCTCAGGTCCTACCTTTCGCCAGGGTTTTGAGATTTCTCTGGAAGCCCAGAGGTTCAAGTGGAGGACAGAGATTTTCATAATTGCCCCTCTCCACACACAGCCAGCTGGGAACTGAAGGGTCCAGACCACCAAGGATTAGCTACATATTTGTTCTGCTGCTTTTGTGTCTTCCCTGGCTGGGTGTAAAGGGGGCCTTGGATCTTGTTGTGTTTAATTAGATAAAAACACCCGGACATACCCCCACACCCACATTCATTATTTTTCCTCTCAGTACCCTCTTGTTTTGCCCCCTCCCCGGCACATTTCAAACACTGAAGGGGCCCTGACTTCTGGGCTGGGAGATTGTGTCCTACAGTGAGTTTGGCAAAGAGATCCCAGTCTGCTCCTGGGGCGAGGAGGAGGCTCAGGCAGCAGGGAAGGATGTTTCACACAGGAGGGTCTGCAAGGGAAAGTGCTGGAATATGTTTCAAAGAAGCCAGCAAGAAACAAGAGGTTAAGCAGCTTGCCCAGGTTAAGCAAGCTTTGTGGTGGCTTACCACTTTCTAGATGGGCCATTTTGTCATCCCAGCACTGGCACTTCCCGCCTCTCTGTCCATCTGCCTTTCCTGAAGCAGCCTTCCCCTTCTAGTTTGACCCAATATTCTTCTCCAGAAGCATTATTGTCTAGAGGAGAAAGAACACAGGTATATCCCAGGTCTGCCACTTACTGGCTGTGTGACTGTGAGCTAGTTACTTAACTTCTCTGCGTCTCAGGGCCAACTTCACAGGGTCAGAGTGAGGATTAAAAGAGATAAATGCACGCGAAGCTCTCAGCATAGTGCCTGGCACACAGTAAACCACCCAGTAAATATTCTGTGCTGTTATTATCATTTCCTGTGGCTAATATTGTTGTTGTCGTTATCATTTCCCCTCTACACACACTTGACTTTGCCAGGCTCCTGGAATCAACCACCTCTCTGACAGTGCTGGCAGGGTACACCACGCCCATTCCTGAAAGCAACAGGGAGATTTTCCACATTTTTCTG